AGTAAAGTCCAAAAGATTCGAATCGAGAAATGTAAGATTTGATAGCGAAAGCTTGATGCTGAGTGACAACTTGCTCAACCAATTTAAGTAAGACACTCAACTTGGCAATGCATTCACAGTTCGCAACGTGACGTCTGTTTCCATATTTATGAAGCCGAATTCAAAAACTACTCTTCCTCAACCGATATAAATGTCGTTTTCTGAAATGATCAAGGAATCAGAACTATTGAAGCAATTTTCATCGTAAAATGTTGAAAACTATATAGATATAGACTTTTTTCTTTTGTTGGTTTTTTAATTGGATTTGTATACGTGGGAGTTCAAAAAAACTGCCCCGTCTCATCCAGATTTTGCGCATTTGTTTACTCTATCAAAATACAACTTTTGATCGATGTTTCTTGATATCGAAACGTGCATTAGATTTTATTAAAACATTTCAAAAATTGTTACAAAGATAAACAAAACAGAAGGATAAACATGGTTACATCAATTCACAAAATGGATCCGAATCAATCTCTGATTGAAAGATGAATGAAAAGATGACTTTATTTCAAGTCCTTTTTGGCGGCATCATACATCCGTACCACAAATTGTGTAAAATGTGCATACAAATAAATACGTAAGAAAGTTGTATTCAGCTGTGACCGAAAATTTTCCTTAAAGAAGACTTCAAAAAACATAATTTAACAAAAAAAAAAATCAAATTTATTGAAATTGATCGGCATGGTTGACTTTCTGCAGTTTTTTTTTTTTTTTTAGAGTGTAAGTGGAAACTTCGATCGCGTATCTGTTGGGTATTATGAGTAATGAAGAACAAAACTCACAAAGAATAGGCGTGTTTTTTAGATCGACTTGGTTCATTTGTAGTGTTAACCTGTATGCAAGCACCACAAACTACTGATGCTAATTAAAATTATGTATATACTTTGCAAGGTGTCTGAAACTTCCTTTGGTATGTTGCAGACATTTTGACAAAACGAATATATTCCATCAAAAATATACTACATTTTATAAAACTAAATACCATATATTTATAAATAGTTTATCGGCTAATTTGTAAATAGAATTGATATATAACGGATGTAGGATATGTGCCACCTACCTGGTGGCATATCGAAGCAAAGCCACCAAAAGACGGAAAAAATAACTTTTCTCCTGATTCTTAACATTGATTTACGCATCTGTATAAACAAAGTATTTCGACCCTGGGCTTAAGATTGCTGAAATCGAATAATTATATTTTATATGTGTAACTTATGTTGTATATTAGACAAAACACGATAATTACTTAGGAAACATTTTATATTTTAGAGAATTTTTATTGTTATTGTACTACGCACAAATAAATAGAGAATATCGAAAAAATTTGAAGCACAAATTATCCGTAACGTTTTCATTGTTCAACATATATATATATATATATTATGCCCGATATCTAAGTATCATCTTCTCATATTCAGATCCAATCAAAATTTTAATTTTTTCATTTTTTTAAAAACATTAACAGACACTAAAGAATCAGCGATTATATATCACAAAATTTTTTTAAAAGTACTCTCACTCGATCCAAATGAATATCTTTTATTATTAGTGCGCGTGTGGTATAACAAAACGTTTCAATATGCAAGAATACACGTTCATTGTTTAAAACGCGCTACATTGTAATCAAAATCTCTAATTTAATGCCACTTTGCTCTAATTCCTAAACATTCTTGTCACACCACTGTACCGTACTAAACATATAGTCGATAAAGTGAAAATAATAATAATAATAATAATAATAAATGCTGTTGTACACTGATTTGAACGAAAAAAAAAATACATACAAGACGATATTGTTTATATGCCTAGATATAAAATGTGTAGAGATTGCAAATTTTCAAACTTCAAATAACACGATCGCATTATCAAAGGAAGATATATTATTCATATATTAATATAATAATTATATTAAATTCCAGCCATACATTCGTGAAAGTAATATCTAAGTGAATTAAATAAATAATTTTATTTAAAAAATTAATTGAAGAAATTTTGCATATTTTTTAAATTATAATATTATCATTATATTGGGTATAACATAACAAAAAATAATTAAAAAAGTTATAAACGTGTTGAGGCGAATCTTTGATTCCCATCATTTCAAGCCAATACATTAATCTATTAATCTGCTAAGAAACATTTATATAACATTTTTTTCGAACATCTCTCCCAAAAATGTCAGTTAAAACTCTACTCTCCTTTTGTCTGCCACACATTCAGATTTTTAACGCAATTTCTCTGATCATAAATGACAGACAGACTGGTAAGCGAAAATGGCTTAATAAGTAAACCCCTTTTACGTACTGATCAAAAGTATATGTACTTTATGGAATTTCATTTCATTTCTCATTTCATTTATTACCTACTCGCATAGATACATTTCATATGCAAACAGAAACTGTAACATAAGTGAGCATATACAAGTCAGCTAAATAGCTGCTAATGTAATCATCTTGCTCCATAAACTCCATAATCATCAATCAATTCCTACCAGCAACAGAACATACATTATGAGTTTAACAGTGCGGTCAATTTTCTTCTAACCGTATTCAAAGAATCATTGAAGGCTTTCAGAGTCAGTGTTGTTAGGCATCGCAATATCTAGCGATATAAAATGTAAAAGATCATTCGACTGATCAGTTACACAATTAATTAATTACAAATTAATGATTATAACATTAATATAAAAGGATTTTGATTCGATCTAGACAACTGCAACAATCGTTCAATTAGATTGGTTGGGGCTCGAGGTTGAACGATTTTGTAGAGATAGATAAGCGGCCTGAGTTTTTCCTCTCTCGCTTTCTTCTTTATATTATTAAATATGGCAAATAGAAAGACAAAATTATTATATTGCCGTCCTTTCCACATACCGCATTAGCATAAATATATATATATATATATATAAAAATACTTGCAAAAAATTTTTATTTCAATATCTGCTTTAGGTTGCAAATTAAAGTGAATGAATTCGATCCGTTTTTAAAGGTATTTTGTGGCTATTTGTGCCATCGTAGATCATTTCTATTACCATTTCTGCGATTACAGAAGTTCTTTAAAACAGACAACTAAATAAAAAAACACAACTTAATCAGAAAATCTTGGATATATCAATTCTCCGATAATAATCAATTCTCTGAATTACAATTCTATTGCGGCGTAGCCCTATTTTTCGTTGCTGAACATAAAATTGAAAAAATAATTCGCATTTTCATACTAAAGATTGGTTTTTGGCGATTTCAAGTTTTTTTTATAAACCGTTGGCGCGTCGATCAGATCGATCACTTTGCGTATCTGCATTATTCTAATAATTCGAATGTTTTCTCTTTTCAGCTCTCAAAAAGAATGCTCATGAGCACATTTAAATGAATATAAATTTTAACTGACGGCATGTCAGTTTTTATGACCCAAAGACAGAAGGACATCGCCTTTTCACCTTAGGTTAATCAGATGCTTAACGCAAAGCGTCATAATTGGATTTAAAAAATAATATAACTCCGCGTCTCTAAAAAAGATAATGTTTATATAGTCTCGAAATACATGCGTACGTGTATGTGTCTGTATTAATTTCCTTTCGCAAAATATTACATATATAAGCCATTAATTATTATAGCCTTCTATGGTATTAACTTGTTTCGCTTAACAACTGTTGTGTATAGCATATGGAAACACAAATAACAACTATTTGAAAGTATGTCAAATAGCGGCAGGTTTATTAGGTAAATATTTTTACTATAAAAATCGATATATAAAAAAAAAAAATCGTATTGAATCGTTTTTTGTGCATTACTCAGTTGAACTTAGGTAAGGAATTTTTATCAAGAACAGTAGATTTAATGTCTTCTCATTAATTTTTTTAACAATTTAATAAAAAATAATTCGGAAACCTAAACATGTCTTGAGAGGAATATTCATGAAAGCATAATAGATATGAATAAATCAATTTACAATTTTATGCGTCAATCGGGGATTTATATAAATTTCTATTGCTTTTCCGACAAATACGTCCAAAATATATCTATTATGTTATAGTTAAAATCTTTCAATTACTTTTCAACTATTATGTTTATAAAGAAAGAATATTTAAAATATTATTATAATTTATAAGCCATTAGTATGAGTCATCGATTTATGTACTGTTTATAGAAATTCATTCATAAATCTTATTATACGAGCAATCATTTTATTTTAACACACATGCATGCTTAAATAAATCTCTTACAAACGTCCAATCATTCCTCTTGACTTTATTAGCGAGCATTTTAAAGCAACTTATTTACAATAGCGATAAATGGAATTTTTACACAACGACAGTATGAGTCACTTCAAGTGATTTGTTTATAATCACTTGCATCAATATTTAGTTTAATTGATAAGGTTGGTCCCTCTGGCTTATGGCTCTTTTTAATGTTTGCAGAAACTTGCTTTCTATGTGTGAATGCATACATTGTGCGTGCATGTGTGTGTGCGCGTAGGGGAGAAATACGTGCACCGTTAATGTTTTACCCAAATAGGAAAGAGTTCATGGTATTTTTTATCCTTTTCTGCAATGTAAGAAAGTTTTATACTACATGGTATAAATTTTTTTTTCGGTCTTATTTGCCATGGAATATAAACAGCTGATTAATAACAACTTAATTTTTTTTTTTTTTGTCTTATTTGTCAAATCATTTCAAGATATAATACATAGATATTTACCGCACGCCATATGCGCTTTGTAGGCGGTGATTTAATCAACCAGCCCTCGTAGTAAACTTCTTTGTTCATATCGATTTTTGAGTGTCTCCACAATTTCAAATCAATTTTGCCGGCTTTACTACTAATTTTTATTCTTTTGTGTAAAATCACAAATGTAGATAAATCCTTTTATTCCAAAATTTTTCTTCACTCTTAATGATGTTTAATCTCCACCCAAAAAAAAAAAGAAACACTACAGAAAATTATTCTTCGTCTCCTGACTTTTAATTCGTCGTATCGGCTTACAGGAAGTTATTCGATTTTCCAACAAATTTTTTTTACACTTTGCATCATCGTCACAATTATGTGTTGTTAAACTAACTTTTAATTAACACTAATTAACTTTTATTTTCGTTTACTTGTAAGTATATTTAATACTTAACGCTCAGACTGATATCAACAAAAATTAATGCAACTTTACTAACGCAGAATTACACGAACCCAAACCCCGAACAACCCCCGAGCAGTTAACAGCGTTGCCATACATCAGCACTTATTATTATGTTTACATTAGTTGAACGCAGTATTAGAATTTAGTATAAATAGCGTATCATGGCATGAAATTTAAAACAAGGACAAATTGACCACATAAAAACTTTTCTGACTACATATCGGGCAATATATATCGACATACATAGATATTATATTTATACAACTTGTCAGCACCTTATGTTGCACAAACTAACAAGAGATGAAATACCAAATTTTTCAACAAATCATGATATCATCGTTTTTATTATTAATTGGAGAGTTAGTTGTCTATATTCGATATTTATTTATAAAGTGAAAACCTTAGATATGTAAAGTATATATTGGATCCCCTCTCTCTCCTTTTAAAGGTTTTATTCAAAGGTACTTTTAACTGCCTTCTATCTGTGAGTCTTTAGAGAGATATATTCAAGCTCGAGCAATTATTAACGCCATTGACGACGTGTAATTAACCGTTATATACAGAGAGAATATGCGAAAAACTTAGTATAAGGTTTTAGTATAAATGTAAGTAACATATAGAAGGATTTTAAATAGATCCGTCGTAGAATATTTCTTCTAAAATTTATTAAAGGATTAGGCGAGCATAAGATGTAAAATTCTCCAATTTAACATAAGCAAGGAAGTGAAAACAAGTTATGTTTGGTACAAATTTTTTGATTTCTTTTCGTACACAAGTGCTTATATGTAAAGAGCAAGCAGTTAGATGGTTGCTAATTAACATCGTCACTATTATTATTGATAACAGAAATACCAAAAGTCTCTGACATTTTATTAACTCTAGTTTTGAACAAAGTGAGACGGGACGGAGTTGGGGTGTCTTATTGTTTAGTTGTAGTCGCTATTATTATCAAAAAAAGTTTACAATAACAATAGAGAAATCTAATATCTCCTTTTTCCTTTTAAAATGAAAAAATAATGTCTACATCATTATAACTGGACAGACACAAAACTGCAAAGAAAGTTGAAGATAATAATGATCCGAGCAGTATGCAGCAAAATTTTATGGTGTGAAAAAAGAACATAGCATTATATTTTGTGTACATAAACATTATATGTTGCTGGCAACATTTCGTTTTGTTTTCATATACACAACATTCTCTCACCATCTACTTTAATTACTTTAGATGCTTATAGCAGAGTTGAAATTTTCTTTAACATATACGCAGAAATTCATACTGTTACTGCAAACATCGTGTTCAATTTCATATAAGCACATGCATTCAAATCATATTTGCTTTATTCCATATTATCATTGCATCAATTCTGTTTGAGATTTACTGCCTACTACTACTGCAGCTATTGTGGCGGACGCTTAAGGGCTTTGAGCAATTACTAACTTTTATGACAATGTAACGATTGAGGTGTATTTTTAACGAATAAACCATGCCAAGCCATTCCCAGCATTCTTCGTATCGGCCAAGCTGACCATGTTACACTTTGCAAAAATAACGAATAAATAACTTTCCTGAAATTTCACACCGTTGTATATTAAGTACAAGCAAAAATAATACCCTTTTTTCCGGTCCATTTTACAACACCGCGTGTTAATCTGATTACCATACATAATGAGGCGCAGCAAAAGCCAAATGCATTCACATTACGCGTCATGTAGCCAAAAATCCAAATTCATTACTATATTTGAAGAAATCTGTTCCACCATAGTCCATCATACACGTCCAGAGGCTTATGGTGATGCTGCTCCATTATATCCCAATGGTCGATTTTGGTTTCAACGATTTAAAAGTGGCGACACTAACTGACTTACATGCCATTTTTGGTCCACTTGTTGCAAGAGTTGCCCAGAACACACTGTTGCAGCTCGGATCGGAAGTTCTGACACACCCAGCGTAGTCGCCGGACATAGCGCCTCCTGATTACCACTTTTCAGATCGATGCAGCATGGCTTGGCTGAAATGCGAGTCCGCAAAGTTGAAAAAGTGCAAAAATGGGTCGGTGGGTGAATCGCTGCCAAACCAATATCAGTTCTTCCGACAAGATATTGCCATATTGGCCAAATTATTGTGAAATGTTGTAGAAAATGATGGAAACTGTTTTGATTAACATATACTGTACCAATTTTCCACAATAAATGCCTTTTTCCAAGTAAAAAAATGGCCAAAATGTATGCAACCTCCTATAAAATGGGGGAAACGAACTAACCAATTATGAAAAATAAGTCTATTTATTGAAATTTTTCTAGTTACATCCTTTTGCCTCAAACAAAATAACGAAAACGAACGCAGCTATGATAAAAAGAAGACAATATGTAGATATATTAGAGAGCTGAACTGAGCTTTTATTTTTAAATAATTATTATATTTTCGCAATAATTACAGTGCTGCCGTAGCCTAAACAAATTGCGCACATAGGTTTCATTGCATTATTGCAGCGGTTTGAAAATGTAGCCATATTAAAAAATTTTGTTTACATAAACATTAAAAAAGCAAAAAACCTCTTTGAAAACTAATTTTTTTTCTTTTTTTTGAAGGAAAGAATCACTTTTGATAAGTTAACAATAATCAAAATAATAATATTTACAATTAATTGCAGCAATAATAAGCAATATTCAACAATGCCATGTCATTTTATAATTATATGGGACTTGAGATATTAACAATATGATTTTGTTTGCGCGATTAGTGCGCTTTTGTATCGTACGTACGAAGTTGTGCAACTCCGTGTTCTAAAGTAATAGACAAAAATAATACGTCTATTTCTAGCAAAACCTAATTAAACGCTGAGGCACATTTTCTATCGACTTTTTTCTCTCAACTAAATAAAATTAAAGAAACTTTTTGCTAACGGTTTTAACAGCAAAGAATTGAAAATAATAACTAAACATAAATAAAAAGAAGAACGATTTTTAAGAGTAAAAGTTAATTAAAAATATTTTGCGAGTTGTTGAGTGCTTTTACTTGTGTACATATAGAAAATAAAAATGGCGGCACAAGTCGCAAACAAATCAGGTACAGGATGGCCGCGTCGAAGCAGCCAAGGACAAACGGATAACAATAATGGTACAGCAAAGTTTCCCAGCCCATCTTTGTCAATAAATAGAACCATAAAATTGTAAGTTTTAAAAAAAAAAAATTATAATTAAAAGAGAACCAAAGCGGTTTTAAGACAAATTCGGGACACCCATCACTTGAGTAAGCATGTAAAACTTACACAAGATATATTCGTAATCTTTGAAATATTATTCTCTTTCGCAAAATAATATGAAAATTTCGAAAATTTAGTCGACATTATTTTAGTTTACTTACTATTTTGCATACATTTTTAAACACGTTCATGATGTTTAATAAAAATATAAATTTCAATTTCCAGTGTAAACACATAATTAAATTGATTTAGAAGAAGACCCGGGGAATTTCAGCTGCCTTTAGGGGAATCTTGCATTAATTACAATGTTCATAATTAAGTTTAAACTTAGTTTACTGCAGACTATAATTGAAAGTAAAATTATTTTTTTTGAAATTGTGCGTTGAGTTACTAAAACGTGGTCCTTTTTAACGCAGAGTTGCTAACTACATATTCCATTTTTACACGACAGATACGGTCCAGAAGAAAGTGCGAAAGAAGCACAGATTAGGAAACAGCCCACAGTTTTTGCTGCGACATGGTATGATATGTGAACTGGATGTTATGTATGTACCTTAAAAATATTCGTTCTTCAAACTTAACAGCAAAAAAAAAAAAAATCATTTTATTGAAAATTTCAAATTAGGGATAAGAATTTTTGTCATTATTATATTTCCAAACTGTAATGTCCAAAATTTTGACCTCCTATGGAGTGTGGAAGTAATAGTGATCGAGTCTTCACCGATATTTGGTGCATATTTGGTCACTATGTTAGATGATGTACTTCAACGGCAAAATTTAATAAACTTTGGTTTCATCCGATATCTGGTCAGAATCGCTTTGAATCAGAAGCGCCAATTAAAAAACTACAATAAAATATGCAAATAATCGCGAAAAAAAAGACAGGCAGCGAAATGCACACTAATTTTCCCTTCCGTCTTCAACGTGCAATTGACTATGGCTGAGTTACGAGCTGCAATACGTGTTTCCTTAAGATCTCAATAAAAGGTTTAGTTTTCACTTAAAATTACCTCAAAGAATCTTATTCTAACTTCATATATTTGAGTATCTTGGCTTTTTACATTTTGGCGTTAAAAAGTTAACTAATATTGTCACGAAGACCCTAAACTCGACTTGGCCTATATATTTCTTTTCTTTTTTTTCACATTTTAAATGATGTTTATTAAATGAAGTATGCGCCCTTTCTAATAATAACCTTTGACCATTCTTTTAGTAAAATCATTTTTTCATCACTACAAGTCTTCTGAGATTTCAGGACGTAAAGCTACAACAAGTGGATATCAAGGGGCGTCTTTTAAAGTCATCGGTACTTACGTATTAACGTCACCGCGGCAAATATTGCATTAAAAAACCAATAAAAAAAAAGCTTTTAAACTCCTAAAGAAAATTTTTTGCCTTCTAAATATAATAATAATATAATAATAATAATAATAATATTTTAATAATAATATGTTTGCCGCGGTGGGGTTAATACCTAAGTACCAAGTCATCTTTACACCATTCAGTTCTGCAAAGACCACTTAGGCGGGGCAAGATGCGCGTTGCATAGCCAAACTTCTTATTTATCTGGATGTATGTTATCTACCATTGTCACGATGGGAGATGATTTCTTTTTGATTTTAAATTGGTCCCGTTATATCAAATGTATCCTTCGATTGTTGGCAGTAGAGAATATAATTACTTTGCTGACCGGCCCAGAGCAGCTCATTATACTCGATTGCTTTTCAATCCCCCCAAATAGAAAGTATTTTCTTACGCGGCGTTAGTGGTTGACACCGTTGCGCAGTTATATTTTACCTTCTCTTCATTTTCCGTTATTGATCTCTTCAAAAATGGCTTGATTTCATTTCGTATCAGCAGCGATTAGACAAAAAATGTTTTTGGTTACATTTTCCAGTGCTAACCGATATGGGTAGTAATCAAGCGTTTAGCTTTTTTAGCATTGAAATTTCGGGAGCAGTACCTAGCATTATAACCATTCCACTAATTTTTTTAAATCGTCTTTAAATAAGTCTGCGAAGAATTATCGCCTTCGTTGAATATGTCCAGACTTTTGACTCAAAAACGTAATTCATTCCGACAGCAAATTAACAAAACAACAAAGTATTAACAAATCCTGTAATGTTTTTTAGCTATCTATGAACAGTTGCGCTTCAAATGGTGATAAGATTACTATTACTAAAGTTGGCTAACTTTAAAGTCGTTATTTACTATTTACGTATGTTTTTTTTAATTTTTAAAAAATTCCATGTGGACCCATAACCGATTTTGCCGGTTTTCAAACTTAAAATGATGATGAAAATGATAAGACGATATTTTTGGTTGAAGAAGCAAGAAACGTGATTCCAGCAAATAGGCAGACAGGCGGACATAAATCAATTATGTTACCGTTTTTATGCATTGTGAGATATCCGAGGCCTATTTTTTTTCTCTATGCATGTAAATAACCAAACTCGTCCCTTCTGACACGAGTATCTAATAATACAAATCTCATGTGATGGGTGTGAAAAATATTTAGAACAGCATAGGCTGTATAGGTGTTCATCTAAATATTTATCGTTTACTATATATTAGATATCCTCTTACCGATTATACTTTTGGATGTAAAGAACCGTTATTTGAGAAAGATCCTTCGGTTCCTTCGCGTTTTCAACGTATGCGCGAAGAATTTGATCGTATCGGTATGAGACGTTCGGTCGAAGGCGTTCTCTTGGTCCATGAGCACGGCTTGCCCCATGTCTTATTATTACAATTGGGCACGACTTTCTTTAAATTACCTGGTGGTGAATTGAATGCCGGCGAAGATGGAGTTGAAGGGCTTAAGAGATTATTAACTGAAGTAAGTTATAACTTTAAAGCACTAATAATATGAAAGTTTAACAATAAAACAAAACAATAAACAAAAAAAAAAAAAAAAAAGAGTTGTTTAAAAAATGCCTAAGATTAAATCAAACAAAACGGAAGTAATGTTGTAAAGAAGTTTCATTTATTACCGATATCGAGGATTGTTAATTCTATTATTTACTTGTTTTACCATATCTCAGAATTAAAAGTTTTTTTTAATAATCATATCTATCAATATATATGTCTATCAATACATATACCTATCAATATATATATATATATATATATAATACATACATATATATATATACGTCTGTGCGTGTGCGTGTAGATGTGTGTGCGTGTGCGCGCGCGTGTGTGTGTGTGACTGTGTGTGAGCTTGGTACTAATTCTATATTTGTATCAATATTGTACTGCATTTCGAGATGATTGATTAATTGATTAATCGAATGCTTTAATGAATGGTTGAAAAGCACAATTTGTATATTTGTATATTCGCATTGTAATTTATTCAGACTTTAGGCCGTCAAGATGGCATCAAACAGGAATGGGTTGTCGAAGACATTATTGGCAATTGGTGGCGTCCGAACTTCGAACCTCCACAGTATCCGTATATACCACCACACATCACAAAACCCAAGGAACATAAACGTTTGTTTTTAGTACAGCTCCATGAAAAGGGTAAAGTTTACAAATTGTTATTATTTTAATTTAATTTATTTGTTTAGTTTGTAAGCGAACCTAATGAAAGAGTGTGGATGTTGATAATTCTTATAAACATACGCATATACATAGAACAAAATATTGTTAAAGATTTAAAAAACTTTCTGCAAAATGTTTTATAAAAAAAAAAAAAAAAAAAAAAAGAGAGACTATTTTTAGAAAACATTTCTCCTCAAATCTCACAAAATTATTACATATTCCATTCAATATAGTTTTACTATATAAACATTGTGTATACATATTCTTAATAAGTCCTTTTAAAGTGAGGAACGATCACTTTATTTCAATATAATTTTTGTAATACACAACGTTTTATAAGGCCAAACAGATTCTTTTTTTTTTGAGATTTTGTTTCTCTTTAAATTGTTCATAAATCATGTAAATATGTCTGCTTATGAAATGACATAAAAATTTATGTACCTGTACATTACGCTCTATTACCCTATTGTAATAATTTTGTTCAAGAATTTGTTTTGGCATTTTTTTTTTTTTTTTTGTTTCTTTTATAAAATAAATTATTATTCTGTTTGTAAGTTTAGAAAATAATTATATACCCTTGAATTTTATCAAATTTAACACTCGTGTAAGATTAATGACAATCCATATGTACAACAAAAAAAAAAAAAAAACAAAAATTTGCCTTAAGGCGAATCTTCGATATCATTAATAATAAGCATTGCCAACCAATTACCTATCGAAGCTATTTCTATAAAAATTTTCCGAAGCGCCTTTCGAAGAATTAGAGGTCTATGTCTTATAATGGCGCCAAAAATTAATAAACTTTTTATAGGCGAAATTTCATCTAACATCTAACGAAAATATGGTTTTACGGTGAATGGCTTTTCATAGGAAATTCGAAGTTCGGAGTAAATTGAAAAAATAAAATGTAAACAGCGTCATCTCCGTCAATTCATCAACTTCATGTTGATTTTTAAGCTATATTCTGAGGTGCTTTCGCGATGGTTTGCATATAAATATTTTATGAATCAGCCGATCTTCACGTGTGCAGAATTCTCAAGTGTACATTAATTCTTGTAAGGAAGACTTGAGCAAAAAGTTCTCGTCAGCATTTCTGAAGATGGGCGAGTTTCTTTGCGAATGCAATGTGATAACTTCACCAATATTTTGCTTACACTCATAGATGATCGATTAGAGCAAAGCACATCTTTGATAATTTTTTAGTACATCTTGAAAGTTTCATCCCACTTAGCCTAGGCTTCTCTCAAATATTTCGAAAATATGATTAAAAGTATGTAAATATTTATTGAAAGATTCCATAAACCAGTCAGTTCGCAAGCGGTCATCGAAATTTGCATCAAACCAGCCACTATACTAACTAACTTATGTCCACTTAAATGTAATTTTAGTTGGGATTTTCTTAAAGAAAATTTTTGAATAAATTACTCCATGTACTCGTTCAAGCACATTTATTGATCATGAAATGAATTAATAAATTTATGGAATCTTCATCTTTTGCTGATGGCTACAAAAACTGCTAAAATGTGCGCAATTTTTTAATGTTTTAACATATGGATCGTCGTCAGTTACTGACCTTATTTTGCAAGAAAATAAATTATAGTAAATTAATGAATTTAGTTAAAACTAAAATTACTATATATATATATATACATAAATTTTTGTATTATCAAAAAAAAAAAATATAAATATTTAATTTTTATATGCAATATAAACTACATAAAAATTAAAGAGAAAAAAAAAACTATATTTTCATCATTTGTATAAAATGTAACAAACAAATATTTTTTAATATTTTAATAATTTTACTTTCTGACCGATTCTTTTCTTTTTTTCCTTCAATTCAAATTCTGTAGCCCTGTTTGCGGTTCCAAAAAATTACAAACTTGTAGCGGCGCCCCTCTTTGAACTCTATGATAATTCGCAGGGTTATGGACCCATAATTTCATCACTGCCCCAAGCTTTGTGCAGGTAAGCATAACAAGATAAAACAGAGAGAAAAAAAAAAAATAAACATCAGGACTACATCAAGTTTATCAAAATACTAACGGAGCAAGAATAAAAAAAATCCATATCGGATATCTCAGATAATATTTATATATGTTCTCAATTAAATATTACCTTTTGGTTTGTTCGAGTTGAAGTTTGCCTAACCATGTTTCAAGTAACTTTAAACAGATAGTTCAAAAGTTTAATTTACATTAAAACAAGTAAGAAAATTATGGTTGACCGTAATCGAATCGTTTATATGCATTAAATTTTCCTACTCTATAAAATTGGGTGGGCGCGACTAGTTTTTTCTAATTTCAGAGCAAAAGTGAAAATTTCTATATGGTCTATGTGTGAGTAGTAAGCAAAGAACACGGAACAGAAAGGTGTTCGCAGTTTTTGGTGCATAGGCATGTGAGTTTTGTAGGCGTGTTCTTTGAAAAGTTTGGATCATTTTGAAATTATGAAATAACTAAATAAAAAAGAACTTATGTTATATGCTATATGCGTCAACTATTTGTCACCAGTGGTGCATATCAAGGTTCAAGGTTTTTTATTGCATCAAAAGATTTGGAAATTCGAATTCGATAACTTGTTGATTCATGAATCTCATATTATTTTTATTTTTTTTCTTGATATATATGTTTTTTAATTTGTTTTATTCTTTATTTTCTCTCCCTAAGATTCAGTTTTATCTACATGTGAGTAGAGCTGAACGCTTTGGCTGAGCATCATCACGCTCGCCAAACAGTGCAACAACATCAACAGCATTATATAGAAGAGCAGGGGGACGACTACCATAATTGTCAACAATTACAAATGGAAGAATATTAGAACTCTAAGGATAAAATATAATTTACTTTTAAATTCATGCGTGAAATGAGCAAATAATATATGTAATAAATATATTACAAATATCTGAATAATCATTTAAATTCCAATAATATTATAATCTACTTATAATTACACTTGCAACCATTAAATCGTTTATAATAAAACAATAAATAAAGCTTATAATTAATTATAGGTAAAGATTATAAATATGGACAAACAAGTCTGAGCCCAAAAGTTTTATAAAATCCTGCAGTAGTCTCAGTTTGTTGTCACAACTAGCATAAAAATAAACATTTTTCACTCGTTATTTCACTTCATAGGTTTAGTGCAAACAGATTGATCGATCAGGGATCGGTTTATCGAAGCTGTTCACGAGAAAACTCGATCGCCCGTTTGAGTTCACAATTATCGATTACGAGGAATTTGCGTCGATTAGTGGGTTTATATCAATCATTAACATATTTTTTTTGTTTTCGATGGCTAACATAATATCTCCCGAGCCTAAAATTACTATCGGGAAACATTTTCTAAAGGAAAACTCAAAGATATTGGAATTTTGCGTTGGACGGCGTATATCTGATACGATTAATTGATACAAAAAAAGTTTATTTAGTTTCATTGACTAGGGAAATTCCAAAGTGCTGGGAACAGTAGTTAAACTGAAACAAAGATTTCTGATAGCCTGTCGGTTGGTGTCATAAATTAAAGAGTATTATGAACAAAGAACGTTTTGGAAAGAATTAAAAGTGAATGAAAGAAGAGGAGAGGTATAAAGTTAATATGAAAATAAGAAATCTTCAGTTAGCCATAGAAAAATAAATCCATTCGAAATGTTAAATAAAACGAGTGAAACATTTATTTCTAGGTATTGAACTTAGTTTAATTTGTTTTCTAAAATCTTCTTCTCTTTTTTTTTTTTTTTGTCAAGATTTTTTATCTATTCTGCGAAAGCCTTCTCTGAGTTATTTTGTGGTATTATTAGCTAATGTTAACCCTTTGCACTCCGCATCGTTTCGGACGTTACCTACCAGTAACTCGACGCCACTTTTTAACAAACGAAACGTACATCCTGAGAACGTGATATTATACAGTATAATTTTAGAATCAAGTGTTTTATATAAATTTGTGGACATTGAGGAAGACATATTTACAAAAAAAATATCAAAATTTATTTTTTATAATTTTCTACAGTATGGTAGTTAAGTTTAAAGCAATTCCCAACATGCATAGCGGGTTGATTTGTATATGTTTCACAATAAAATGTTGTTTGCCGCCTTCTGCCTGGTGTTTTTTTGTCAGAACAGACAATACAATCCCGTTTTCTTTCTTCCACATTTGAAATATGCAACTTATTATTCAGTCTATTGTCTGACAACGATGTAGATGGACTTGATCGAGATTCTCGAAAATCATCTCTCAACTGCTTTACAAGACTTTTTACAAACTTGTGGTGTGTCATTGGTTTTTGTTGTTCTCCTTCTTCGGAGAATACGTGTTTCTTAAAAAATTGCGGTGAAATAATTTCATTGTCCGTAATCGCTAACAAACTATCATGTCCCCTCAGAGGGGACATCCGAATGATATGCTAGGCTTACGTTGTCCCCTCAGAGGGGACAGCCGAGCGCAAAGGGTTAATATACATTGGGAACCTAAAAGTCGACACAAATGTTATGCAAAGCAGCTCAAACTTATGCAAACTGTACGAATTTTCCGTGACAATAACGGCTCCTTTTGTCTTTACATAGGATTTTCTTTCCGTCGTTGCTCCATTGCTAAGTGTGCTTTAGAGTGCATCTCATTTATGTCAATTCGTTTAATCCATTGGGAGTTTTTTTATAAGCGTGCAAACAAAAAAACAACATTTCCTACGCCTTGTCTAAGCTTTCTTCATAAACACACTTGTTCTGACTTTGTCGTCATACATACTCACCTGTATACATTTCGTCCCATTAATATTGGGTTTTGTCGTTCGACAAAAAGTAAACACTTATTAAGCATAATCCATTATACAAATATAAAATCTGTTTTTAGTATTTTCTACTATTAAAATATAAAAAAAAAAAACAAACAAACCTTTTTTCCCAGTAGACAAGAAAATCAAATAACTTCAACAACTCAACAACAAATAGATTTTTGTACTTTTTCGAGCCCAAAATAAGCCCGAAGTAAATTTTACATTAAATGAACTATTAGGCTATGATCTTGTAATAAATAATAAAATTAAAGATTCAGTCCTTTCAGACCGATTTTAGGCTTAGTTTATTTTTATTTATTTATTTTGTTATTTATTTATTTATCTGCTTACACATGAAACTTAAATAAATTAACAGTCAAATTTAATTAACTCTTAGAAGTAAATCTTATACCAATTATTATTAAAAACTAGTATAAATATATAAAAACATATAAAATAAAGTATATATAAGGATAGATAAAGAAAAAAAAAAAAAACAAGTAATAATTTGTGTATAAATAAATAAGAAAGAAAAAATACATGTGTATAGTTAACACAGAGGCACACCCACAACCTGTATAGGTCCAAGTTGCAAGTGAACGCCTAAATCATTGCAAACATGCAAAAGCTTGGCGACCGATAGCAGCAAGCAACACCAGTTAATTTTCGAATCATATACGACATAGGCAAATCGCGCGTATTAAGCATAGTTGTTCTGATGGATTTTAAAGAGGCCAGTGACATTGTCAGCTCATAATTATATAAAGTGCCTAAAATAGCGAGTAAGGGCATTAAACTTTATCTCACCAAATAGTAATGTGGACGAATCGATTGTACCATTTATTAACTTAATTATGAACGCAACACCAAGCATAAATCGACGTTTCTCAAGTGATGGTAAGGATAATAGAAGCAATCTACATTCATAAGGAGAAAAAGGGGGATAAGCGGGTCCCAACTCCAATTCGTAAGGGCAAACAGCAAGAATTGTTTTTGAACGGACTCAATTAAATCTACATAACACCAATAAGAAGGAGACCACACAACAGAGCCATGCTCAAGTATTAGTCTAATCAAACACATGTATAGCCTTTTCGTAATCTAAGGATCATTAAGCTCTGAGCTGTACTTTAAGAGAACTCAATGTGACACTTAAAACGTAATCTTTGGTTGAATAGAACCCCTAAATGGATGAATAAATCTACGCTTTCCAGCGTTTGTGAATCGATGAAATACCCAGCATTGAATGAATTCCTCCAAACCAAACCAAATTATTTATGCCGATTCGAAGCTGATATAGCTGAAAACAGTTTAACACCATCAGAGTCCATTACGATCTACCTGAATTTAATCATCGAGGAGAGATCATTAGTGTATAAATTGAATAAAAAGGATCCTATGTGGTTGCCTTGAGGAACGCCCGATGTCGTGGGAAACTCATCTGAGGTGAAGGGGTTAAAAAAGGTCGTGAATGATTTCTTATGAATATAAGAAGAAGGGATCCACTTCAATAAGTACAAAGGGAAGACAGAGGCCTGGAATTTGAAGATCAATAAGTTATGGTTAACTAAGTCAAACGATTTACTAAAGTCAGTATATACGACATCCGCGCGAAAACCACTAGAAAAAGCCTTAAAAATATGGTAAATAAACTTTAAGAGATTCGTGTTAGTAGATCTTCTTTTCGGGAAGCCACGCTGGAATGCAGTAATGTAAGATTTGATAGTAAAAGCTTGATGCTGATTAGCAATTCACTCAAACAGTCTACGTAAGGTATGCAACTTAGCGATGCCTCTATAGTTCTCAACGTGATATCTATTTCCCCATTTGTCACTTGGGATAAGGAAACTACTCTTCCAACACGAAGGGAAAACACCTAATTTCAAGGGCTGATTAAAAACTATTGAAATAACACCGCATAGTTCAATAGAGCTTGATTTAAGTATACACCATGCGATCCTATCAGATTCCGACGCACAACTATATTTCAGAGAGCTCAAACCATCTAAAACATTTACATGCATCGAGTCATGCAGACATAAACACAGTGAACTCAGAAAAATAAATAATATATATGGGTCACTTGCATGTATTTTGATCATTTTTTCAATTGGAAAAATTCACTTATTAAATTATTAATAAATTTGGGGAAAATTATTAACTTTTTTAAAGAAAAAAAAAAAAAAGCAAAAGAAGCGAATACTGACTAAAATATCTTTAAATTTCAATTGCTTTGTAATGTGCTTTAGTGGATAGAGCACTTTATTGCAATCCCGAAGAAAGTAAAATTTTTATTAATTCCTTTCGCATATATACATATAAAAATTACGTACACCGAATATATCTTGCGGTTTTTTCCGACTCCAGATTAAAATAACTTTTTTCAGGCAGCTAGACAGATTATTATGGTTAAAGGTATATACGTACATATATAGTAATTGTAGAGCAGGCCTATGTTTATTTAGTAATGAATTTTCAAAAGGGATCGGTTTTGTTGTAGTAGTGAGACGTGGGAGATCAATGTGAGGATATAAGACATATTTTACTTTTTAATTGCAAAAAAAAGATAAAGCAATTTCGGAAGCACATAGAGAGTATGCGCTGTATGTGTGAAACTAATGCTGCAGCAGAGCGCAGTTGCCAAAATTTATTTGTTCTGGAAAATTTTACCGCGCTCTGGTAGTCCAAACACCATTAATGACGATTAAGTAAAGGTTAGTTCATACAAATCGCTAGATGTTTGGATTCTATGTGATTTAAAATAAATCCATTTAACACTACGCATTAGTACCTGCGATATGCTGCTAAAACGAAATCAAAACGATTCTTTCCTGTAGAGAATTGCAACTGGTGATGAAAAATGTATCCTACACAAAAATGAACAACGCAATAGATTTGATGTATATAGGTGATGTATTATCAGATCCACCATACAGTCTTGTCATTGCACTATAAGATTACCATCTCCTTTTTCTCTCAGTGCAAAGGTTTTATTCAGATGACAGTATAAATTCATATATACAGAAAATTTCGTTCCTGCAAAAGATCAGAAATTTTATGAGAACCGAATAATGAAATTGCTAGAGAAGTGACAAGTTATTATTGAATAAAATGCCAGATATACAACTTAATAAAGTTAATTTCATATATAAAAAAAAATTATTTATTTTCATAGTGAAAAACGCCTCAACAAATTTCCGGACTACCTAATAGTTGCCTTTTTAAAATACTCCGGATAATTGATTTGTAATGCCACTGGATTATGGAGAGGTGGTATTTATTTATATATTTATTTATTCCAATTATACAAGAAACTCAATTAAAAATTTCGAGAGTCGAGTTCAATTGACTCTGAAACTAAATCTTAAATTAATTAATATTAAAACTTAGTATAAGTACAATAAAACAAATAAGAACGAAAAAAAAAAAAAAGAAAAAAAGCATGTACACAACTAGCATAGAGCCACACCCACAACCGGTTCAGGACCAAATTGCGAATGAACGCCTAAGCCATCGCAAACATGCATAAGCTTGGCAAACGATAAATAGTTAACAACAATTCATTTTCGACTCATCGTGACATTTTAAGGTTAAGAGCTAGTTTAAGTTACACGCATTAAGCAATGTTGCTTTAATGGATCTTAAAGAGTCCGATAATGAGAATAAGTGATAGACATCATTATGGTTCTTGCAAACAACTCTGAACGGATTAAACAGCTCATAATTATATTTACATTGACTAACCTTAACCAAGGTAAAGTGCTTAGAGAAGCGGTTGCGGCCATTAAAGCTTATTTCACCAAGTAATGCAGGCGAGTTGATAGCACTATTTATTATTTTGATTACGAAGGAAACGCCAAGAACAAATCTAAGTTTCTCGAGAGACTGTAAGGACAACAGAAACAACCTATTTTCATAGAGGGGAAAGAGAGGCAATCGGATCCCAACCTAAGGTCAAACAGCAAGAATTGCTTTTGAACCGATTCAATTGAATCTACATAACACCTATATGAAGGAGACCACACAACAGAGGCTTACTCAAGTATAGCTCTAACCAAACACATGTACAGCCTTTTCATAATCTAAGGATCATTAGCATTGAATGAATTCCTCCAATTTAATGATCATCAAGCTCTTTGGACCTCCTCTTTATAAAACCAAGTGCGGTATGCTCTTTATTAACTAACTAACTAACTTAACTAAGAATTAACTAACAAGGAATTTGCTCAATGTATGTCAAGTTAGTTGATGCGCCATTCTTTTAGTAGAACGAGCAAGAAAAGCATATCCTAAGTAACATCTAAGAGAAATTTCAGATAGATCGGTTGAGAATCATTATTTTCAATTAAGTAAAATAAGATAAAAAAGATTTTGAAGATTTCGATTTTTTTTACCCGCCTTGTTCACATCAAATAAATAAAATTTTTGAAATTTTCATAATAGTGAATATTTATTTAAAGATATTTCTGTTGTTACACAATATAAGTTTCAATGGGTATGAGTGTGAGTGTTTGTATCTGTAGTGTGCATCGATGCATGATTGCACATGATTGATATATACATTCATTAAAAAAGATATTTTTTTTTTTTTTTTTGTAATTTACTTAATTGTATTTTCTCGGATATAATTTTGATTAAATTTTTAATTTATTTATTTATTTATTTTTGTTTTTGTCAATGTTTGCCCTAAATTTGATATTCCCGATAAATTTTTTGAAATGTTTGATCATCTCTGGAAATGGAAGAAAATTTTTTTTTTTTTTTATATATATATATTTTAGGAATATATTAAGCAAATTTATTATAATATTGAATGGATTTATTGTTCTTTTGGGTAAAATTTGTGGAATAATAAGAAACAAAAAAAAAAAAAAAATGAAGCCAGAAAAATTTTCTTCTCTGTGTGCGTGTTTGCTTGATTTGGTGATAATATTTAACAACGTGCTGCTATTTATTTTTTTTTTTTTTACTTATTTTTTAAATATATTAAAAATAAAAGTTTTTAATTTGAAAGAACCATAACAAGGCTAAAAAGCGCTAGGAACACATAAATTTTATGAAGCAATTAAACAACATATTAGAAAGGTAATATAATTAACTTAAGTAATCGTTAGGTCGGTATTGTGAAAACAATAACAAAATCTTTCAGGAACAACGTTTAAGGAGGAAGAAGATCGAAGCCAATGCGTCCCTTTTAAGAGTAATTCTTATGTCTATTGCGATATATAAATATTTTGATTTATTTAAGGTTTTAAAATTATTGAGATAAATTCTCTTCCTTTCTTTCTTTTCATTTCATTATTAATAAAATTTAATTTTAAATTTTTAAGATTTACAAATAAATATATATAAGAGAGATATGTTTTTCTTTTCCTATTACAGGCTTCAAAAAAAAAAAAAAAAAAAAAAAAAATTAAAAAGTGGAGAAAATTTTGTAAAGAAATGTAAGCGACAAATTAAGATAAATTAAATTGAAAAATTTTTTTTTCATTTTTTTGAGTCCATTCATTAAAAAAAAAAAAACTAAATGTGCGTGAACCACTATAGCTATAGCTTTTCCGTATTTCTTGCGTATGGTTGGGTCAAATATTAAGTGTGGATTGTTCCGAAACGATTTCCTTTTTTTTATTTTTAATTATTTTAATGACTTGATGCGGAACACTTGCTTGCTTAGTCACTTGCTTAGATGTTTTCTAAAAAGTAAATAAAGTTCATTGATTTGAAGCCGCCGGCATTGAAATGACTTTTAAATCATCGCCCTGAGAGAAATACACGTCGGGAACTACATGATTATGCGCTATTTTTACGTAAATGCAAAATTTTCATGAAAGCCATCACATTGGAGAATACTCAAAAACGTCGACGTGGTCTAAATTTAGTAAACTTAATTTACTTCTCAAATATTTTTTTTTTCTTCAAACTACAAATTAGGCTTTGCCGACACAGAGGGGTTAGCTTTCATGAGAGCTCCTACATAGACCAATACGATCGGAAACTTTTTGGCATATTTTTCATTAGAATTCTTATATAGCTTAGGATCTAGAAAGTGCATTTATCAGGTGCAAATTCGGTAAGGCTACATTTTATGCCAAATTGTTATTTTTGCCTTTTTACCATATAAAGATGCAATTTCCGTAGGAATAGTTGTTATATGGCAAGGAGTTCAAAAAATTTTCCCATTCGATCCAAATTTTTCGCACCAATTTGCCGAATGCCGAAATAATATTACTAATCGATCTTATCACGGAATCCTTTAAATTGCAAGAGTTGTTCTTATGACGCCCTATCAAAGTAAAGCCTTACATCTAGAATAGTCGAAAACGTGATCCGATTTAAACCATTTTCAATAGCGTTCGTGCTTGCGCCAAAAAAACGTCAGTGCACGAAATCTCATATAAATTAATCGAAAATTGCAACTTATAAGTTGAATATAAAAATATATATATGGACAGACATCAGACGGATAGATAGACAAGATTAAATCGATTTAGAAAATGATTAAGAAAATGGTTCCAAATCGATCGGTGTAATAAAAGGCGGATATCTCTCAAGCCCTTCTGGGTAGTTACAAATATTTGGACTGCGATATACTGTTGGTCTAATTGCTAAATTAACTGCTGTTGGCAACAGCAGTTGTACAATTTAAAATATCGTATTTTATCCACAGTGCATGAGATATATGTTCGATATAATTATTACAACTTAATTTTAAATGTCTATAATTTTAGTTAAAGCTAATAGTTGGTATGAAAATATTCGGTCCGAACTGTGTATAGCTTTTCTTTTTATAAGTAACCAATATGACTTTGGCCTGTCATTGAGTTATTCTAAAAACCGTATACATATCCCATTATATACTTTTAACCTTTATCTAGTCACTGAGATTCATTCTTGCTGAGAAATGCTTGCGGCGTTGAGGAAATTTTCATAAACAAATTGAAAAAGGCTTTGCTTTAATTGAAATTGTAGTAGCGTTGGGAAAAAATAATTTCAATGGTTTGACAGAGAAAAAAGATCTGTAAACGAAATTTTTGATTATCAAGGTAGGGGTTGGAATGTATAATTTGTGGATATATTCTACACATATATATATATATATATATATATATCTACTAAGTTTCTATTCGATCTCTCTCTTTCTCTTTCTCTCTCTTTCTCTCTCTCTCTGGCGTTCTTTTTCCCAAATGTCTCAACTTTTAGACGTGTACTTCTATGGTTTTGATACCGTCAAGGGGTGCAAAATAGGGAAAAATAATTCTATAAATTCTTCTCAAATCTGAAATCTAATTAAAGAAATACTTTACCACAATTTATTGTGATAAAATTTTAAATCATAATAACCCTGATCAGTTAGACCCTCCGTAGAGGATACCGTAGATGCAGCATCTTCTAGCGGTTGTTGATCTTGATTGATTTCTGGCGAGAGCTTATGACCAATCGGACGATTTATTTTTAATACACCGAATTCCTCACGATCTTCTTGATCGAATTCCATTTTATTTGATGGTGTAACAGCCATACCGACCCCTACTGACCGATTTTTCATTCCAGTATGTTGTTTGCTTAATTGAAATATTGGCGGTTTACGTGTGGTCGGCGATATATTATCATCGGCCATTACTGCAGCCACTTTTGATGCTTGACTAGATGGGCTATTAACATGAGATTCTTGCGTACCATTGGTGTCAGCGTTATGAGCGTCATTGTTGTCATGTGGAACATCGATTACATCATTATTATGTTCCGTTTCGCCGTTCTCTTCAGATTTATCGACCACATCAACTGATGGTGATGTTACTGGTTCCGGTTGGGGAGATGCTAAAGGTGTCGGTATCTTTTCAATTGTTTGCTCTTCTTCTTCAGTATTTAAATTTTGTAAATTTTCAGTTATATTATCAATGCTTGATTTGGTCGATTGACTAAAGAAATTCAAAGTAAATTTTATTTGATGTGAATTGAAATGAAAAAATATACATAAATAAATTAAATTTGCAAAATTTTAATTCAATTTAAAATTTTTTCTCAAACTTTACACACATATATATATATATATACATCATTTATTTTTATTTTTTTATTTTTTTTAATTCATAATTTAGTGTTTTTTTTCTTGTTTAACTTATAATTTTTTTTTTTTTACAGATAATATTATCTAATAGAAATAAAAGAAAAGAAAATTATATAGAAGAGAGAAAAAATTAATTGAATTACATAAATAAAACAACAAGCATGAAAGTTTGTATTCGCCTTAGGACGAATTTACGATACCAACCATCTAATTCATTTATAAATATATCAAAGCAATTTGGGAAATTTATGTATCCGTTTTAGACGCAGTGAATATTTTAGGTGCATTGATAAGCGGATTTCGCGAACCTTTCTCAACAAAAAAAAAAAAAAGAAAAGAAAACGGACATGAATCAATAGGCTTCGAATTTCATGAGCATTTCTGAGCATGTTAAACGGATGGTGGATATAAACAAAATCATTATTGTTACATATATTATCGTGTTCAAAGTATTCAAAAAGATTTATTTAAATAAAGGATTTTTTTTTTTTTTTTTTTTTTTTTTTAATGGAAATTTTTTCAACTTCTATAAAACAATTGAAACAATTCGTGTTAAAAAGAAACGTAAATGTTTTTTAAAATCGCTAATATTTCAATTAAGAAAAATATTTTACAAATCATGATATTCTGAAAATAAAGAAATAAAGAAATAAAAAATAAAAAGAAAAGTAAATAGAAAATTTATACATGAAATATAAAAAAAAAAAAAGCTAAAGAAAAAAAAAAAAGCTTAAATAAGTTCCTCTAATTACTCAGAATAGGAATTCGTGAATGCAACTAAGTTGGATGTTGTGCGCTCCTTTACTAAAATTAAAAATTATAGCACAAAAGTGGCCCGGAATCGCAATGCAACGCTCGAGTTCGTCTACTAATGTCTACCTAAATTTTAACCTCATCGCAATAGTGATGATGAATTCCGTACTACTTTGCGCTTAATATGTTAATCAATAGATTTGATATTACCACGAAGGCTGTCGTTGAAGTTTGCTTGAAGACTTGACTTGACTTTACGATTATCCACGCACTTAATATTGCGCCATTAATTGTCTCTTGCGTCAGTCTCCAAAGTCAAGGTTGTATTTTAAATTTCCATCATAATCAAAACACTACTGTTCCGTTCTTTGAGAATAAGTTTTACTCGTTTCTCAATCTGCTCACAATATATATATATATATATATAATTGAACTTAGGTCTTGAAGGGCTAACAATGATGTCTTTCAGAGTTTCCGTTACGAAATCATGCATAGACGCAATTAAAATTATTGAGGCGTATAAACAATTTCTAATCAATTTCACTTTTTTTTTTTTTGATAATCTCTCATAAAATTAATTTCGCTTTCAACTTTGAAACAATCGAAATTTCTTTGCCTTTGCGATGTAATAAATGGTTTATGATCATATAATGCACCGTATCGCCAATGATGATTTTTTTATAATTATTATAAATTTAATAATTGTTCCCAGTCGTTGAAAACTTGAAATGCGCAGAAATTCAAAAAAAAAAAAAAAACAAAAGCAAAAAAATGGCAACAACTTTAGGGGGAATGGAAGGTAAATCTGCCGACTTTTTAAATAAACTGCTTAGAGGGTCGATCTGTCTGTCAGATTATGTTCATCGATTTCTTTTTACATTCTTTTGTGTATGATGTTATTTAATGAATAAATAATACATGTTATGAATGAAAAGATTTTTTTATGACTTCTTTTCAATACGTTCAACTCACCTCCCCGAGCCAGTGGTATTTTGATTTGTTGATGGGCCATTATGAATTATCTGGAAAATTGAAGAAGAAAAATATGAATCAAATTTTTTTTTTTTTTTTCTTTTTTAAATTTATACGAACACACACAAACATGCGCACATACATGCTAGACTGAGATTTCACTTTCATTACATCTTGAATCAGATACGCAAATTATATTTAACCAAAACACAATTGTTTTTTTTTTTTTTTTTTTTTTAATCGGTTTTTTGCCCATCAAATGCTGAAATAGACGATGATCCTTAAAACATCATCATAAAACAGCATAGTGGAAGATATTACACGGTAAAGTAATAAAAAAAATATTTCCTTGAAACTTCTACGCGATATATTGTTTAAGTTTACGAAGCTGGTTAAAAGCTTTTCTCAATAAGGATGATATGTGATCTCTGATTGACGTTGCGGCCGTCTTTCACAAATATCGATCGTTAATATGTTTTTTTGTATATGTGTTGCGTTTAATGTAAGAATTTGCTCTATTATGATGTTGATTTCTTAGGAACGAGAATAGAAATCCCGCTATCCCTCCGAGATCCTGAGAATCCCCTTTAACGAATTACTCATGGCCTGACTTGGCATATATTGATCTAAAGGACATTACGTTTTAATAGGAAAGGTCTACGTGTACTAGACCGCATTTCAAAATATCGATTTATTATATATGATGCTTGTGGAAGAAATGTTTGTATCGGGTCGTGTCGGCCTTCAAGGTCGCCTTCCAAATATTATTCGTGCTCCTAAGAGGGAATATTGAACGCGCTTTAAATGAAATTAGTTAACCGTTTTATTTCATCAATCAAGACTTTACAAAAGTTGGGAACATAATCACACATACACACACACACACACACACACACACATCAATATAAAACGGACAAACAGTCAAGGCGAAAACTTAATATGCTATGATTTAATGACGATAGTAAGCTTGATATAATTCCCAGATTGATCGATGAATCGAGTTTGAAATTTGTACAATTTTCATTACGATTTTGTAGAATTAGGAGATTGTATGTTTGTGGAAATATTTTGTTGAAAAATTTACTTAATTAATATAATATGTTGGTCCATTACTCCTGGGATGAAGGAAAAAAAAAATTCAATTTTATACGATTCAGCATGATTTTCGCCAAGAGTGACGGATTAACTCCTCAAAAAGCCTCCGACTATTACCTTATCATTTGATTTCCTTAGAAAATTCATTGGAGATTTCTTAACAACGAAATAGTTGTTGGAGATTAGAAATATGAAAAATACCTGCTCTGCTGGGTGGACCGATAAATTGAACTTGCACTCGGGCCTGTTTTTCAATGGCCCAAGCATTCTTACAAGCATTTCTTGCAATTTCATTTTTCGATTATCGCGAACATATTTCAGAATTTTTTTTCTATATTTTTTGGCGGTCGTTGCTTGCAGCACTATTGACGTCCGCATCATTTCGTTTAAAGGCAGTTGACGATCTAAATATTGTTGTTTACCAACACTAAAGATCTTTATCGATCACAAACCAAAGTTCGATTTTTTGTTTTGAAAAAAGGGAAAAGTGGCGTCACTAAAACCACAAATAATCAAAATGACAAATTAAATTTTGAGATGCGTCATTTGAGGGCCCTTGCTGGGCCCTTTTGAAGAGGCAAAAAATAAAAATTTTATTTAAATTACAATCATGCGACGATCAACATGAACGCAAAAATTAATTTGTCCCAGATTCACTTATCTATCGGCGCAACAAAATCGCGTGTATGACTCGAAAAATTGTGTGCAAAAAACAAAAAAAAAATGAATGTTACAATCACACATTGAGACAATCAAAAACTACACAGTTCGATTTTCATTAAGAATTTTTTTTTTTTTAGGAAAATATTTAAAACTTTAATTTAATTTGAAAAAATTCGTATTATTTTTTTTTTTTTTTTTTGTACATTCATTCTATCCCTTAAATAATATGAATTTAGTAAATATATGATGGGAATAAAAAATTATGTCAAGTGAGTTATGTCAAGTAATGCCTTTGTAATAGCGTTTATCACTACTGCAGGCGGCACACAACAACACTGTATATGACTATGTAATCATATATACACTAAAGAAGAGTATGTATGTATATATATGTATTCAATATGCTAAACAAGTGGTTCCACTTAAAAGTAAATATTTGAAATAAAAGAGAAGTTTTTGAAAAAAAAAAGGGGGAAAAAAAAAAGACTAAAACCAAATATACCGTAACATTTATATAAAAAGGAAAATGAGAACAACTATATATAATAGACTTCCGTAATATGGTTTAAAATTTTTCATTGTTTTAAATTTCCTTTCGCTTTTCAACGGAACTAGAGCAAAAAGGACAATAATGCAGAACTTAACTTAAATATCGTGATGATAGCTCAAGGCAGAGTGCTGCTTGATATCACATAAGTGTATTTTATATATGTATGTGTATGCCACACATGCATGCAATTTGAAATCTATGAATGCCTACTGTTTGGCAACGGAATTTATATAAGTGTTACGCTTCTTATAATAATAATGTTTAAAAGAAAAGCAAATATTTCTTATCCTGCTCTATGGAAAAGTGAAAGTGCTGGCAAAGCAACTGGAAATGAAATTGGAAATTGGCTTACGTCCAAATATATATATATATGTTTATATATGTTTAAAGCATAAGAAAATTTAACATGCTTTACTTTAAATCTGGGGATAACCCATCACACGTAACGTTTAATATATATTTCAGATTTATTACAAGTGAATGAATGAATGAATGATTGAATGAATGAAGTCGAGTAGCGCAAAAGCACGGATGACAAATTTTAATTGTTTTTTTCTTTTTGCAAAAAGGCTTTTAAAACAAACTCACTTTTCATTACTTTTTCATAGGCATACGGTTTTATAGAGATAAGAGTGATTTCTAGTGTTTCTGAGATAATTTTTTGCATAATTTTTATCAGAACTTTTTCAAGGCATTTTTTTAGTAGCGGTGGCTCTCGATGCTGTACTGTAAGTATAATATGATAAAATTGATTTTTTTTTTTTTTTTTTTTTTTTTTTATATACTTCGCTAACGGGAATATCGCTCTCATTATATTTTTTTGATTATAATCAAAAGATATCGAGAAAACTTTTATTAGGATATTCGTTCAATCAATTGTTGTCAATCGTTTATTATGTTCTCTGCTAAGGATTGAAATTGTTTTGAAAATCGCCTTCAATTTCGTATTGGTTAGTATTCCGAAATATATTTTATTTATATTCGTTATTATATCTAAATATATGTTTGTACAAAAAAGTATACGTGTGAACATATTATTATATCGATGATAATATTGATATGATTGATGAAAATTGAGAAGGTCCTGGCTGCTGCACATAATAATTTTTTTTAAGAACACAACAATTTTTCACATATGAATATAGCAAGAAAAAAAAAATTAATACACGAAACTGTAAACGAAAAAAATTTTATCAACACGTGTTAAGCTCACACACACGAATGAGAATTTCGAATAAACGGTTTTTATATGAATAAAAAAATCACACTCCACACTCCTGTGTGTGTGTGTCAACGAGTGAGTATGTATTGCAAATTCAATTCAGTTGGCTCCAGCTGCTGCGGCAGCAGGCGGCAAAACTTCAGGCGGCATGGATTGGCCAACACCGGCGCCAGCGTTCATTTCATTCATATCAGTGCCGCGCACTAGATAAATAGTGGTCTGACAATTTGGGCAAGTAGTGCACATCTCCGGTTCCGGTTGAATTAAAGTAGCCGGCATCGAATGAACACCGACCTGTATCGGTGGCGGTTGTTGCGGTGGCGGTTGTTGCGGTGGAAGTTGTTGCAATTGTTGGTGCTGTTGCTGTTGCTGTTGCTGCATTTGTTGATGCTGCTGCTGTTGCTGTAATTGTTGCTGCTGTTGCTGTTGAATCGAAGGCGGCTGATATTGCTGCTGGCCCTGAGGCGTTTGATGCTGCGTGGGTAGCAGCTGCTGCTGCTGCGGTTGATGTTGATGTTGATGTTGTCCTTGAAGTTGAACGGGCGGTTGCTGGACCTATTTCCCAATTTGTTCAATTGTTCAAAATACACATTTAATCACATACCCGCTCATATACATATAGAAAGAGAGAGAGAGAGACAGAGAGAGAGTGGGAAGGAGAGAGACAGAGAGAAAGAGAGAGAAACATACACACAAACACATACCATCAACCGAATTGATCAGACAGTTACAGTACAGAGCGAATAATAAGTAAACAAAAGAATTGATATGATTAGCACATAAAGGAAAAAAAGAGATTGCTTTATTTATAAATATTTAAATAATAATATGCAGAATTTACATGGGTTGCTATTGGATTTTTGCCATGCGATTGTCCTCCTGACGCTACTTGCATTTGAACTTGCGATGGTGGCAAGTTAGGCTGAGCTACTTGCGGTTGTTGCGGCGGCGATAATTGCGGTGGTACTTGCTGCGGTTGTTGCTGATGATACTTATTATGCTGATGAGCCTTTGAAGATGTTACTGATATACCATCGCCCTGCGGCTGTAATCGTCAATAAGAAAGCATGCGTACAAACTCCTTGCTTTAGTTTTTTTGTTATCACGCTTATGTACAGTGTCCCTCCTTCTCTAAAGTCAATTTACTTAAATTTCAGTTTCAATTTTCCCTTTTGCATGTCGTCGGACGGCAAATAATATCATTAATCCGTATACATACGTATGATGCAAAAACTTATTGCACATTATTGATTACTACAATGCTTTTTGATTCCCTGAATCCCTCGAAGGTTCTATTATACAATTGTCCAGCCCATATTTTATGTGCTCTTGCGCTATCACTTTCTCTAAACGCGACAGAATTTATTACTCGTGACGTTGAAGGACCTCGTAAAAAGAGAATCCCAAAAATCGGAAACATCGAACAGCATATAATAAAATATGATTTATAAAGGAAAGAAATTTTTGCTTGTCGAACTCGATTCGACTTCGAATGCATGCATAAACACACTAATAAACAAAATTATATAATTTTTTATCAAAGATTTTTTTCGAAGAAAAGCAACACAGTAAGTTTCTCTACAAATTTCACATAAAGTTTTTTGCAAAAATTTTTCTTGACTAAAGGAATGAGTTTTTACGGCACATAGTTTTAAAAAATTTGAGTGGAAATAAGAAGTTGAATATTTCTATCTTCCACAACAAGTCAAGAGTAAATTTCTTTCCGACCGTACTTTGAAGGAATCGATTACGAGGCGTAAACACAAAGTAGTTTACGTCCGATTTCCCTTGAGATTATGGTGATGCATGCAAAAAAGTGATTATAATCAAAAAAAAAAAAAAACCATCTTCCTCTTCCTCTAGCCGCTTTCTAACTATCTAACAAAATCTTTTCTGATCAACACTCTGACTGCACATATTTAGGAAATCTTGCCTCTAATAAACCTTCCTGCTCATTGTCCTATCCCGTGTGTAGCCACAGCCAGTAGTACAAAGTGTAATAAGTTATGTTGTACGAAGGAAATATAATAAAAAATTAAAAAAAAAAAATTTTTTTTTCTTTTTATAATTACCGGTACTGAAGGTTGTCCAGCAGCAGGCATATTTTGGATTTGGAGTTGACGCGCAGCATAGGCATCATCGTTTGAGCCCTAATGTATATAATATTTAAAAACAATTCAGTTATAAGATTTAGTTACAAATAAGAGTGTAATAAATATGATGTCGTCTCGTTTTTTATCGACAAACGAACGTACAGTTCACATCTAAAATAAAATTTTAGTTTATATCTCTATGGTCAACTCGCAAATATATCAAAAGCAATGAAGACACGTTATGAAAAGACTTATCTCGCCGTTAGTTGGAATAGAATAAGGGCTTCTTTTTTTTAATATTTACCGATACGGAAGGTTGTCCGGCAGCAGGCATATTTTGGATTTGACGCGCCGCATAAACATCATCGTTTAGGCCCTAAGTAACAAGCCAAAATTCAGAATAAATTTCAGCTAATAGCTAAACAAAAAATTTACCGAATGACGTGGAAATAATGGTTTAGTGAAAATATTTTTCTTTAAATATTCTTCGTCCACATCTTGGAGACCCTGATGAGTTTGGAAGAGAAATAGAGATAAAAATTTTTTTTACAAAAAATATTGAAATAAACTAAATAACTAAATTTCAGCAAGAAAAGGATTCGAAAAGATTAGAAAAGATGCCGTCTCCTAGATAGCAGCCCCGCAACTTACGGAATCAGCCTGATAAACCTTTGAATAGCAATAGCACGAGTTGTCCATGTTTATTGTAAAATAAGTGAAGGATGATAGCGGTAAGCTTCCCGTCAGAAAATTCTTTGATAACAAATTTTTTAGCTCAGCTTCTATTATAAACGAGTTTTTTTTATTTTAAAAAAGTCATTGCGCATGAAAGCAACTGACAGAGCAGAGCAGCCATGGACTTTCATTTATGAAAGAAAAGTCAATTATAAAAAAAAAAAATTAAAGAAAATGTCAGTGGAGCATTATTCATTTTTTACGCCGGCATCTCTTCAGACGATTTTTTTTTGCGCTATGAGCAATGCAAGCCACAAGGCATAGAAGAGGAATAGAAAAATATGATAATTCAATCACTTACCGATCTACGCTCAATGATTGGTGTTTGTCTAGCGTTCATTTTACTTAAAGCATCCAAAGGATTTTTTCGAGCCTTTTTTTCCAAAGAAAAGAAAAAAGAAAAAAAAAAAAAAAAAAACAGAAGAAGAAGAAAATATTGAATTTTGCTTTTCACTTATAAAGGGATTTTAAAGCAAACTTACATTTTGTTTGGCTAATTCGGCAGCTTGACTAGGGGTCACGCTAACATCACTGGTGCTTTTCTTTTTTGATAATTTTTTTTTTTTTTTTTTTTTTTAAACAAAAATTAAGAAAAATCGTAATGCACTTTATTGAAACACAAATTTGTAATAGAATTCTTCTTCTCTCCGCTCATTTCCGCTCATTCTTGACCGAAAGTGGAGGATACCGAAACAGTTAGCTGGCTACCCAGACACAGGCAGACAAAGCCTAGCCAGAGGGCCGGGCAGCCGGCGAAATGAGAATAAGAGAGAAGAGAAGAAAGGAGGTGTTATCTATCCCTGAGAGACTTACTAATATTTGCGTCTTCGATGATCCGGGCTTATTGCTATGCACGCTTTGCCTGTGGCTACGTTTAGATTCCATTTTTTTTTTGCTTGCTAAAGACAGGATGATAGGGGTCGCGGCTGCTTTTATATAAGTTTTTCGTTATTTCGAGATTAATTTTTGCTTTCTGCTGTGTATTTGATTGATTATTAATGAACACGCGTTTTATTTGATTTTAACCATCAATTGAAAACGAAATTTTTACACAATCAACATTAAACAGACGTTTATTTTAAAAAATATATATATATGTGTTCGGGTAAAAGCGGAAGTTTTTATTTTCAAGTTTTCTTAAAATTTGACACTATTCTGAAAAATCCTCAATTATTCTGGTTGAAGAATTTGAAAGTAATTTCAAAACGATTGTGTTTTGGTTTTTATTTTTATTTTTTTTTACCTTTTTTGTATTAATAAGGTTTTTTTTTTTTTCTTTTGAAACAGCAAAGAATTGAATATATTTATATGTACATATATATTTATTTGTATATATACACATACATATTTATGTATATATCTATATTTATTTATGTGTATATATTTATATATATATATATATATATATATATATATTTATATACATATATATATATATACATATATATAAGTATATACATATATATGTGTGTGTGGGCGCATAAGTATTGTGTGTGTAAATTAAACAAACAGAGTTCAATCTATAACTGGTGGGTTACATGTAGCAAAAAAAAAAAAAAAACCGCCTGATTCTCAATCGGTTACAAATTGGAAAACAATTAAAAATGCAGTAAAGTAATTGTGTTGTTAGTCATTCAAAAATACACACACACACGCAAGTGAAAACAAGCTAACAAATATAGTAAAAATGAATTTCAATGGATTTGATTAAATACCTCAGCCATACTGCAGGTTGGTCGCCGGGCACCGTAACGCCCGACTGGCGCAATTTGGGTTATTTGTGCGGATAACTTGCTTGCTTCTAATTGCCGCGAACGTTTCTTATTAAGCTCATCACCCAGATAAGTAGCACCGAATAATTGCGTATTAGGACTGGTCGATTATATAATTTTTTTTTTTTTTTTAACATATTTTGATGATGATGATGAGTTGTTGTTGTTTCCATTATCATTGTTGTTGTTGTTGTTGTTGTTGATTTTGGTGGTGATGGCGATGATAATGGTGAAGGTTAGTTAATATTTAATTGAATGAAAAATGAAAATATATAAACATTAATTACTTATTATTATTAACAAGCAAAAATTTATTGTTTGCATTATTTTACTAATTTAATTAAATTATTGCGCATAATCTTTGTTAAGTAAAATAAGCATAAAGTATTTTTATAACCACAATGCTAAGATATCGTTTCAGAATTCTCAAAGGTTATACATATTTCTAATTAACTTTAAAGCCCGGCCTTTTTTTCTATCTATGGTATTTTTTTTGGCACATATTACTTTATATGTGCCCGTTACTTTACAGGAATTTATAAAGAAAACCGATATTTTGTTTATACGTATGTTCTTATTTGATGGCCGTAGATTAAATTTGAAAATGAATGCAAATCTGGCCAATGCACATAACACGTAGCATAGATACTATCCTACATAATACAATGAAATTGTTGATCAACACCCCCCATCTCAGCCATCCCCCGCGAATGCTCCTTAGAATTATATAAACGTCCGATGCAAGAATGGCCATAGTACCGCGCACAATAAACGCGCCCAAATTGCGCAAAAAAGCAACTTCGAATCTGAGAGTTAAGATCCCATAGTAGCGCGGAAAGTCCAAGTAAATAATGGCCAGGTCTATCTGAACATTCAAAGAGAAAATAGATATGATTAGCCTACAACAATAAAGGAGCGTAACTAACATTCTGTGCAGTAGATGTTATTGCAATATTCGTAAATAAAGCGGGAAAGTTGAAAGTAAGATCAACTCATTAACGCACTCACAATCCACAAAATACTCTACAACAAGTAGAGTAATTGGCTTAAATTGATAGGTATGCATACAACATTCTTGTCGTTAAGGCATACATAATAGGAAAGCTTCAATAATGCTACTAAGGATCAATTCATAGATACGAATTGCTTGGAGATTGATTGGAGTGCTAGTAAGTCAGTTGTTCTAGCATCGAAATATGTGCCAAAAGAGGGATCTAAGAATCGCATCAGATATGGCTGCATTTCCTTTAATAAGAGTCAAATGCGGACATTATTTATAATAAGTAAGTGGCAGTAATGGCACAAAGAGTTCCAAAAAAACAGTTGTTTTTCGCACAAAAAATTATTTGATGATAGGATAGATGTCAAGAAAAAAGTCATGTCTAAAAGATTGTGCAGAACCAAGGCTTGGCAAGACTTGGGTTAGTCGTCATTGTATCAAAGGATTTTTTCCTGAACACAAATCGAATATTTCGGTTTACAGTTTATTCGAACGTTTTTGATTATTAATTTAAGGTCGTTTACACCATATTCTATCCGAGCCAATAATAATGTTTTGCTATTACTTAAAGGCTTCATATTTGCCAATGTGAGCAAACTTTATTCAATTTCAATTTAATTTCTACTGAAATATATATATACATATACATATATAAGATCGATCGATCAACTTTCGCTATTTGATTTAATTGATACATTTGCTGAATGTTATAACAAAAATTGTTTTAATTGTCTAATCCTTACTCGTTCGTCGTCTTGCTTCATTTTGTGCTCTTTGGTGTTATGATAATTGAGTAACCGACTCATTATTATTAGATCGAGGATTATCAATAGCTTTAAACTTTTCCGGGACAAAACAAAATAATTTTACGAAGAAGAAGTCAATGCAAATATAATTTTGAACTGTTTAACCCGCACAGAGTTGTTTGCTAGAACCTAAATGATGTCTATCATCTATTCTCATTAATGGACTCTTTAAAGTCCATTAAAGCAATATTGCTTAATAAGCGCGAATTACCTATGTCATACTTAAACTGACTTAACCTTAAATATGTCATTATGAGTCGAAAATTAATTTGTTGTTAACAATTATCGGTTGCCAAGCTTATGCATGTTTGCGATGGCTTAGGGGTTCACTTGCAATTTGGTCCTGTATCGGTTGTGGGTGTGGCTCTAGGCTAATTGTGTACATGCCTTTTTTTTTTTTTTTCTTTCTTTTTTTTCCTCCTTATTTGTTTTATTGTACTTATACTAAGTTTTATTATTAATTAATTTTAAGATTTACTTAAGAGTCAATTGAACTCGACTGCCATTTTGTTTTAATTGAGTTTCTTGTATAAGTGGAATAAATAAATAAATAAATAAGAAGCTGTGCACAAATTCATCCGCAAATAGCATAGTAATAGACATACGCGCTGGATGAACTAAGCATATAATGTAATGTAAACAAGTAAAACTATTATAATCGGACAAGATTGGTCATTATGTAGTATACCCTATGTACATTCCCATCTCTACAACGCTTAAGTTAATGTAATTCAATTCTTCAATTGGAGTAAGAATATTATATTTTTACCCTTGATCGAAACTGCTTTTGACTAACGCCTTCTTTCTGAAGCCTTAATTCTTGGGACTAGAAGAATTTTTACTACAGCCAACTGGCAACTGGCAACAGGCAACAGGCAATTAAGAGACGAACTGATAGAAAAATGGACAAATCGAAGCAAAAATTTTCTACCGATTAATAATATAATCTTTATACGACCTCGAATAATAAAGCTTTCTTTCCGACTGTTGCAAACGTTACGACGAAAGGGAATATATTATGAAAATTTGTAATTTGCTTCGAGGTAAAGTCGTACTTTTCATGAGTTTACGTGAACTGATGTAATTTAATTTTAGAAAAAAATATTGGAAAATCGTCTTATCAAATATTAAATCGAAATATACGAAAAATTTTGAATTTTACTTTCCGTCAGTATCCTTATATGCGGTTGGGCTAAAAAACTAGATCTACGTGATCAAACTTTGATTTGAATTAACTTTTATGCCAAATATATGCTACAAATCAATCTTTATTATAAAATATTAAAATTTAGACCTTTTATCTTATTATTATATAAAGAATAGGTATGCAAGGTAAGGTATTTTCACATCAGTTTAATGTACCACTTTGCCGTTTTCTTTGAAATGTTTTGAAAATTGTTGACTTTTTTTCCCAAAATAAGGCGTTGTATGAGGGGTTGCAGTAAAGATAATCCAATTCAATTCATTTTTAATAAATTTTTGGGCTAAAGGGCCACCCATGGATTGCAGCGCACAAAAACAAAGAAGCTCAAATCGGTTCTGAATCGATTTATCGTAAGTCATTCTGAATGTCACATACATGCGCATAAACTTAACATATCCTTTACCATACAATTGTGCGATTTTGTAGGGCATACATGTGGTAAAAATTAATTTCACGCTGTAGCGGAATCATTCGTACAAGGATTTGGATAATTTTTCTTTAAATATCTTTTAAAAAGATTTTATTTGATTCGATAACTTAACAAAGCTCGAAAATGTTTATTAAAGAATTTTCTAAGCAAAACAGAATCCATTGATTTTGTGAACAATTCGTACTCATTTACTGCGTAGAGAAGAGACTCTTGAATGCTAAACGACCAAGCCTGACGACAGCTTCCAATAAATCAATGAACTGAAATGCTTTATTGTCATGTTCACATATATATATATTTTCTTTCAGCTATTCGCTTAATCAGGTCATAGCCGTTATTCTAGAAACTTTTGTCTAAAATCACCAGCAGGTCAACGTTTTCTTTAACCATTTGCAACGCAAACTGCAGGTTTAATGTAAACATAGCTTAATGTAACTCAATCAATTAACTTAAGCAAATCCCAGATATCCCAGATGTAACAGTTCAAAGTATCATGAGCCCTGTGTACCTTGCTTTTTGTTTATACTTAATAACAAAGACAAATTAAAAAGTGAAGCCCTCATCAATGTCATTTGCACATATCGTCCAACTCTTCCATGTATTTGAAATTGTTTCAATGTGCATATGACTTCTAAATAATTGTATTCTTTGAACAACAAAGAGCTTCTCAAGTACCTCTGAAAAGTTACAATTAATATCGTGTTTGCGTGCATCTAATAAATCAAGATGTGTATGCTAAAACTTTTATTATTTATGTAAATTATTTATTATTATATTAGCTTCTATTAGTTATTATATTAACTTTCTTCTTAAATGTGTTTTTAAGTTTTCTAAAAAACACGCGCTCTCTTAATCACTACACATTAGTATCATCGCTTAGCGAGTTGCATTAGTTTTAAAGAAAGCAATTATTGTAAGATGACATATAACGTTAAACGTTAGTAACGGATCCTTTTAACTTTGTCTAAGAATTTTTCTAAACAAATTTTCTTTAACAATTTATAGCAATGGCAGGATCTATTACTTGGTTTTTACTTGCATGCTCTATATAAGGCTAGCATATCATAGATCATTGCGATGATATATGAAGACGTGCAACAGACAGATACCGTGCCCTGGCATATATTGTTAAAGGCGGAGAAGATAATTTACCATTTAGGTATTAATAATAATGAGCTCTACATAACGATACTACCATCAGCATACTATACTCTACTAGAAATCCGTCCAGCTCGAGATTTTAAACGTGAAAGAAGAGTTTACCACTTACAGTACACCAAAGCTCTACCAAACACTCTACTACACTCTACCAACATTTTTGTCTCTCAATATGTATGTCGCTTGCTATGTGTTGGACACTATATGAATAATTGTACAATAGTGCAGAATATTTAATGATAGAGATTGTGGTCTGCTTGTTAAGCATTTTTTTTACGACAAAGTTGATGGATGCAAATCATTTAACTACAACCGAAAATATGATACTCTTACCATTGCGGATCACTATTTGTAAATGATACGATTTTGTGTAAGTTCAACCTTTTAAGTGATTGTTGCCTTTTATTCCCATCACCGACCCATGGGCTTATACTCACTTTGTCATAAAGTTTGCAACAACACCCAGAAGCGGATTTCGTAGACGATGTAAGGTTTAGGTATTTTAGGTATCGCCGTTGGTTTATCTATGTCCGTCCGGCAGCATGTCTGCGTGCCTGTGCTAATGGGTCGGTGTGTGATATTAACACTTTCCTCGACGCAAAAAAATATTTACTTTAAATTTGGCAGAGACTTTGGGAAAATAGATCAAATTGGTCAAGGAACATGCCCACAATAAAGAAAGTAACTTGAAAGTAACTCTGTTCCTTTAAGCAAAATTTGTGGAATTTTTGTCTATTAATGGGAAAGAATATCATAAGGGAAGATGGCAACTGATATATTAGATACCTTCAAACGTCCTATCATGCGTTCCGTTCGGTGACAACGCAGTAGGATATAGTCAAATTCTTTCTCTCTATTCAAGACGGCGGACGCTAAAAAATGGCGGTTTATCTTTCTCTTAACAGTCCATTCAATCTGGATATAAAATAAGAGGGATACGTAGAATACGATAAATTATATATTTATTCTAACGAATGTTCGTACGGTATTGGTGGATTTATTATTTTTTTTTTTACCATCCTCGCCTCAAAAAAGTGGGCTTGGGGAGTGGAACGCAATTTGTAATACGGTAAAAAGTATAAATTAAATATATTCACTTAATTTTAAATCAAATATATTAGTGATTCATTCACCTAACATTTCTAAAACTTCTTAACAATGATCCAGTTATAATAACTTGCAATACCAATTATATTCCATCGCAATGTCTTAGGGGTCGGACAAAATCGGTGCTAGTACGATAAAACGAAAAGGAGGTGGAGCATACATCATGGCTTGCTTCAAGCCGAATGTAACATTTTCGCTTGTTTGAAAAAAAAAAAAAAAAAATATGTTGCACCATCGTTGACTGACTTTAAATTAAAAGCGTTACAGATTTATTACAATAACAATAAATATATACGTAAACGTACGTACGAAGTAAGTGTGTGCATCAAAATTAGTTTAACTGCATACTAAAATGAAGTAGAAAATGTTTAAGTGCATATGAATCATAATAAAAAAGAAAAACACAAAAAAAAACAAAAATAGTGTGAAAAACCACTAAGGGTTGCTTGAGTTTTCTAGCGCAACTTTCAACACAGCAGTTGATTGACACGTACTTTTCTTAGTCATATAATAATAATAATAATAATAATAATAATAATAACTACGTATGTAAATGTATACGTTTTATGCGATTAATGTTGTTTTTATTATTGTTATTGTTGTTTATGTTATGATTGAAGCACGTAAAGTGGCGATTTAAATTTTTTTATTTCGCTTTTATTACATAGTACATTAAATAACCGCATTATATATATATATATATATATATATATATATAAACATAGCCGCTTTAAATATAAATGTATGGTATCTACAAATATATAAGTATGTGGTTTCTAATATGAAATAAACTTAACCATACGGATTAAATTGTTTCGAGATCTCTTATGCTTTCTTTAAGTTGTTTTTTGTTTTTTTGTTTTTTTTGATTTTTTTAATGGTGTTCTTGGTCTTGGTATTATTTATTAAACTACGATTTATTTATTTTGCTTACCTATTTGTGAGATGCATGCCAGCAGTGCCGTTGCTTTGCTGTTGACTTTTTCGATAATGTTGATGATTTTGATTTTGATCTTGATTTTCTGGCTGCTGTTTATCATCAAAGAAACCCTCGTATAAAACGAAATTATTTGCCTGCGGTATAGTGCGAACTAAACCGTAATGTTTCCTTAAGAAGCCTAATAATTTATCGGATGGCCTATCCACAGAGCATTTGATCGGTTTCCAGCCCTCATCAGTTAACATAGTCTCAAAAAGTTCTTTGCCTAAACCAGATCGTTGACGGGATTCGTGTATATAAAAATCCAAAATTGATGGAGCATTCGAAATTTTCCGCGTCTGACCAATCTCATCGAATAAATATAAATCTTTGGTGCCAACTTTTAATAGACCTAGTACAACGCCTCTGTTGTCAATAAGAATTTCAAATATGATTATAAATTTTGAAAAATGAAAGTAAGAGACGATAAAAGCTAGAAAGGTAGAAAAGCGCAAATTAGATGTCGAAAATGAAGGCAACTTACTTATCAACGTCAGCCAAAATGTAAACAACTTGATTTTCCGACGATCTTAAGCGTTGAGCTGTTGTTACCGGTTTAGTTAATTTCTGGGCTTTGGCTGATAGCAAACCTAGCGAATCAATTATTTCCGATATTTTCGCTGTTGCGTCTCTATAACAAAAATAAATAAATTAATATTATCATAGCTTCTAGTCTAATATAGTGCCGTCATGGAACCACTTGCATTGCATATATATATATATATATGTATATGTGAATACTAGGCTCCCTAGAGAGAAAGAAAGAAAGAAAGAAAGAAAGAGAAAAAGCCTAGTGTTCGTCGCGATCGGATGTGTTTCTCGGTAGTCCGCTAATAATTGCGGTAAACAAGCCTATTAGTGGGCAAGTGGGCGTTAGTTGGCGTTTTTTAAACAATTTGTATCATTAGTTATGCGAAAAAAAGGAAAGTTCAGACTATAAGCGAAAAATAAAAGCAGGAAAGACAGAATAGCCGTAGCGGCCATTTATTACTAGCCCATGGCCATGGAAAGCGTCACCACAAAAATTACGCAGAAAATGCACTCAATAAAATTATAATATATTACAGCAACAATAGAAGTGCGTTCAAACATACACCAGTAGAATTAGCGTACAAATAATGCGAAACGAGTTCTCACGGTATCCAAAAGGAAAGTGATGGTACGGCATAGTGAGGTATTTGCGTACGTTCTCGATGGTGTAGACACAATTGCCTTGATGGGAAATATTACGGGGCAGGCTAAGCAAGCTCCCCAACGACACTATAGGAAAGGAAGTCATTCTAATAAAACTTGCGACATATTGTAAATGCTTTCAATACGCGCTTAACGGAACAGATATTTTCGGACAGATGGAAAAGCCAAGCATTGGTTTTGCTGTTTCAGCTCAAGAAGCCTCACCACCTCATGCACCATAGCTCTATTTGTCTATTGAAGAGTATAAATAAAGGTTACGAAAAGCTAATTCGTAACCGTAAAGAAGAAGCGCTTGCAACTTCACCGGTCTGTCGGATTACCAGTTTTCACTCAGAAGAAAGAAAAGCATTGCAGATGAAACTAATATTGTGAACATCATAACAACAAAATCTATAAAACAGGAACGTCCGAGGGGAGGTAACAAAATATATTGCCTAATAACAACCCTTGGATATCAAATATGCCTTCAATTCAACTTATCGGTGGTGTATCGTGCTGTACTTCTGGGTAGAAGAGTCTCATAATATCTTATTAATAGTTGTTGTGAAACACAAGCAGGATGCAAGGAACCTTAGAAGTCAATAGTGCTCTTTGCCTAAAACTTAACAATAATAATAATCGCAGAGAATCTATAAGAAATCATCGCTTTAGCAAATGACATGATCACTGGGAAAGAAGGAAGTGCTAACATAGTCTTTATAGGGGCCTATAAAATACTTTGCGATAACTATGTCCTACCGACTAACGGGAGGAAGCATCTCCAATGGGTGTGCGGGAAAGCAGCAGAGGTAACGAGGAGACACTGGCCCAATTAGTAGCTAACAGCATCGGTCCTCGACAAGGCAAAACTAATGGAAGAAGCAGTAACATCAACTATACTATATGGCTTCTCCGTTTCGCAAAATACACGCAAGATATCACCATATGCAAGAGGCATCGGAGCTGTGCACTTTGACTTTGTACCCTAAAGGTAGGTAGGTAGGCAGGTAGGTATCGCGTAATGCGCTGTAACGGAAGATGCGGAATTGGTTATCACCGGCGTGGTACGAATCGACCTATAGGCCAAAGAAAGCAGCTACTCAAAGCCCAACTACAATATATACATGCTAGTAGGCTAGAGGGAGAGAAAAACTAAGTCGACAAAAGGTATATGAACGCGTCGGCTCTTACCAACCCTGGAAGTATAGTTTAGTAGACAGAATGTTAAGGTTGAATTCAATATGACCAATTGCCAATAAGCTCACTCACTTTTGATAGTCCATTAAGGACGCTGAGTACGGATATTGAGGAATATCCTCTTACCGAAAATTTTGTTACATGTCCTAAGAATTTGTGGCAAGGGTTTAACGTGGGTTCCTGCCTGTAAGGCTTAACCCCACGGTGGCCCAAACCACTTTTTAAGCGTACTACGCCCCCTGGCGAGTTAGACAATCCCCACAGAGTAGGGGCCTAAACAGCACCAGAGTCCAGATCAGTTTATTGTGTATGGAACAATAAACCCCACATGTCCTAAGAAATTGGAAAGCGATAAAAATGTTTGCCGCTAACTTATTGAAGAAATAAAGACGAAAGAGGCATCAACGTAGATTAACAGATAACCGCCATAGCCCTCTCCGTGTGAGGGCCTCCTAAGCAGTCACGCTACACGTTAGGAGATGATGGCATACGTGATTTCTAGTTAAAGTTTCTCACTGGCACGAAGGCCGCGACATTCGAAGCTTTCCCACCCGATTGCAAAAAAAAAAAAAAAACGCTCACAGACACGCACGCGCGCCTGCATTCAAATAATCCCATAGCCCATAATGCCTTGTATTATCTATAATATATCATATTGTACTTACAAGGATTGCCGACGATCGCCACGGAAAGTATGTGGCAATAAATTTGATGTCACTTTAATGATAGGCCGTGTAAATAACGGTTTTATATCAAAACGAAAATCCACCATTTTTTCCTAAAATGCCAATAAACACAAACAAGGTTCGAAGAACTGTAAAGAAATAGAAAAGCAATTGTCTTAAATATTCAAGTTATGAAAAAATTGAACTAAACATAGGAAAATGTTGTTTAATGGTTCATTTTAAATTTGATTGTTCATTCATTCATTCAATTACGCTGCCTGTTGATAGATATATATATGTACAATATGTTTTACCCTATCTGCACGCGCTTGTCGAACTTTTACTTTATCTTTGTAAGTTTTATTATTTTGAACGCATCTAAATGTCCATCGTAGACCTCAGATAATATATATAGTATATATATATATATATATTTAAATATATATATATAATATGTATATATATAATATATATATATACTTATTTATACATGTGTATATAATATAATAATAATATGAAAAACGAAATCAATTTAATTATGTATATCCTATCATTTGTTCATTGTTTAATAGCACTATTATATGATCCCAAAATTTCATTAATCAGCCATCAGCAAAGTAATCAAATCATGGGAAGCCAAAACGAGTAAGTACCAAACATCAGCATATAATATCCAAAAATATATATATATATATATATATATATATATATATATAATATGTACATGTATATTAAGTGTGTGAATATGGCTCGACACTTTTTCTAAGGGATCAGGAGAAGTTATATTCACATACGTATCATAAAGCTGACTATGCGGAGTTGGTGCAATTTACTAAGAAAATGCTGCCAAATCGTGTAAAAAATTAATTTGTATTATATAGGCTACACTTTCGTTATTGTTGCTCGCTCCAACGTTCAGCATTATACATACATATATGTGCACAGCTCTACTAGAGACTTTCTTCAATTTCAATTCAAGCAAGTTGTGATGGACATGATGGTGAAAATGCAGATCAAGTCGACTATAATATCCCTTCTGTTTAATCGTGATATTAACGCCGAAAGGTATGCAGCAAAGGTATTTATTTTATAAAAGCACTACATATATGTGCACAGATATATATTTAAGCGGCTGTCTGATTCATAGGCATCATGTTAACATAATATATACATATTTTATATTATGTATATAATACATGTGCGTACGATAAAAGTGCATAACCGCTAATTTGTGTACTTGACATATAAGATTTTATTCGAAATAATGGTAATGGTGTCTTGGAGCCCGCTATTGGACTAGTTGTATGACTCAATATCTTGGACTGCGAATTGATATAATTATCATATCGTCTTAAACGGGTCTAGCCAAAGCACGACCGACCTGCAATCTTTGCAATTTTCTTCTTACCAACATTCTTAGGCTCGAATTGTATTCACTGAAGCAGCGACATACATACGCTCTCTATGAAGCATAATTCTTTACTTTGTTGCCCGATGAAAATCTTAAAGCCAATGATCGCAAGACGATCTTTATTTGTCTTTTTTCAGCTTAAGAGAAAAAAGAAAGAAAAAATACACAAAAAGTGTGGATAATGAAAAGGAAAGTTCTAAGCCCAGGTATAAAAATTAATGGTGAAATTTTGCAATTGCATCTATATTGCATCTACGGCTGCGCCACATCAGCTTTGTACAAGCATAGAAAATTCTGAAGACGATACAGACGAGTGACGAAAAGAAGACGATCTTAAGCATTTGCTTAATCCTAGAAATACCGTACAAGATGGTTTAAACTTTTTCAAGCTGTGAACTTCAAAAAGAGTTTTTTCATCGTTTTTATTTATAAGACTTTAATTGATTATTATAAGCAATGCAAAACACAAAACGAAAAAGAAAAGAAAAGAAGAATTGTCTCATATAGGGAAATAAGTTTTAATTTGCATTAAAGCGAAAGAATTTTTATCAGTTTTTTCTTCTTTTTTGCACCTGGTTATATACATGAATATTCGATTCGATTCAAGTCGATTCGAATTTTCTGTTAAGTTTCTTTCTTTGTCTAACCGACTAAGTAAGTAAGAGTGCACAGAGGCATAATACATGCATACATGTATATGTTTGCATGCACCTGCATGCAAATACTGCTTACAAATATAGTTCTCCATATATATATATATATAAATCGACGATTTTAAGGGCTAATTAAATATAAATTTATAATACAAAATTTGTAACGGATTTTGAAATTCTCATGCACTTGTCTCAACCAACAGTAGTTGAAAATTTTTCATAATTGCTCGCACATTTGCAGTGTTCGGTTATATGGGAAAGAAAAAAAAAAAAAAACAAGTAAGACAATTATACTTGGGTGGGGTCGAATCTCACATACCGAACACCATTAGTATCTATGGCTCCTCCTGCTTTCATTTAATTAACGTCATAAAAAAAAAAATGAGATAAAAAATGACTGGGATAAAATTTATCCTTCATCTTTCAAATTTTACATCACTCGTCGCCTTTCAACTCTTCGAGTTCTTTTAGTTGGATTTCAGACGGACCGACATGGCTTAATTAAATTAAAATGCCGTACTGATCAAGAATATATACTATACTATATAGAGTCTCTGAGGTTTTTTTTTCACCCTCTGCAACATTATGACAAAATGAGTATACCTCACAACCTTCAGTGGTGGGTATATGGTAAAAAAAAAAAAACAAAAAAAAAAGTCAAGTTGGTTGAGTATCGTTGAACAGGTGCAAGTAATGGTTCAAATACTTAAAATCGTTATTATTATTGTTAATAACGCATACACACACAAACTCGCGCTCACAAATTTTTATATAAAAAGATAAGCAACCTTCACTACAAATTTTAAAACTATATAAAAAAACAACAAAATTTGCAATTAACGCAACCTTTAGAATAAACGAAGAAAAAGATTTTTTTTTTTTTTTTTTTTTTTTTTTTTATCAATAACTTGCAATGTTTTGTCGATTAGTACGTGTTTGCGTTATATTAGTTTGTTGTTATTGCTGTTATTGTTATTGTTGTTGTTGTTGTTGTTGTTAAAGGTCTGAGTTTTGTGAAATCAATAAATAAATATTTGATAGCCTGGTAACCGAGGCAAATTGTTTTAAAAAAAAAAAAAACAAAAATTATTTACATGAATAATAGAAGAAAAAAAAAAATTAATTTCAAAAAAAACAACAAAGAGAGAGAGAGAGAGAGAAGAACAAAGCTGGTCGGCCCTTTTCTATGCTAGTCTCTAAAAATCATCTCATACATGATAATGAAAGTTGCTGACGTTTTCTTTATTTGTTTATATACGCAAGCGATTGCCATCCCAAGTTACCCGCCATACGTAAAACTAGCAATAATATGACATTCACTTTAAGGCGAATACATTATTCATCCATTCGCCCTCCCCACGTTTGCACCTTTGAAAATGCTCGATCACCATTATCATCATTCTGAGGATTCATATAAATTGATCGTACAAGTTCGAAAGTTACATATCTACTCTATAGGAATTATATATATATATATATATATATATATATAGATTGTTTTTGAGTTCGGGGCACTTTTCGAACTGAATTCTAATATCAATAATCTGAACACAATTGCCAAAGTGCATAATTTTGAGCCCATACGAATTTCATCAATTGACAAACGCATAGACGAATATAGCAGTGTTTTCATATTTCATCTGCCTTTGGTGCATCATGAAATTTTCTCTTCGTCATTTCATCATGAAGGCATATGCTTCTGGCGTCAGTGGCGTCAAATTAAGATCAAGGTAATCATTCAAAAAAGTAGCAGCAGTAGTAGTAGTGTTTTGCGAAGAGCATTCAAAGCATCCACACATTACTGCAAAGTCCTTTGTCAATATTAAAACGTTTTTTTAAACTAACCATGCTTTGCGATTTGATCACTTATTACCCACTTTCATGCATACGTATGAGATCGCTTGAATTAGGAAACACATAATCCAAACGGTAATGATGCTCAATATATGTATAGTGTGTGATCCTCCCTTAAACTGTACTTGGATTACCGCCATTTTCGAAAACCATTTTTAAGCATGTGATCTCTGCTTTGACCTAACAATTTAGTGAAACTCAACTTTCGTGTTCTGTCACTACTAAGCGCACCCCTGAAAAAAGAAACCCAATGGTAGTAAATAAAGGCCACTGTTTGTCAAAACTGGTACATTTCTCTACCGAGCAAAAGCAAAGTTCATCGTAACGGTCAATGGCAGTTGCCACGCAGCCATGCTGACTTGATGGATGTCTTAAAATTAATTTTACAATAATTGATTTTCTTCAATTCTAGACAAGATGCCCCTACGAACATGGTATACAACTGATATGAAAAGGAACTTATGAATGTTAATGTTAGTGTGCTCTTCTCTCTATCTACACAGCAACGTGCAGCCTCTAAAGCCCATTTCGAAGCGTACCAAAGGGAATGACAATAACTATAACCTTAGCTTATCATTTTTTTTTGTTTTTTTTTTTTTTTTGTTATTAAATCATAATAAACCACAAAATGAATTGACGTGTGTTTATTACATTTTTTTTTTCTTATTAGCGAATAAAAAAATATTTTATTATAATGAAATATTTTTGACGACTAAAATGATACAAATAAATGCATACTTATAAATCTTTTCTTTTCTTTTTTCTGTTCTTTTCATCAATACAGGATTTGTAGCAAAATTAATTCTAAGCAATTATCGATTGGCTGCGGTCACAACTTATTGGTTGCAGTTGTTTTTGATTGGAAATAAATAAAGCTTTCAGCTCCCATAGTTGTTCACTTAAGTTTTTCATTAATTACGTATAGGATGATTAAAAGTCAAATGAAAATCTCATTGCGCAACAACGTTTGACGTGAATTCGGTATCTCATAAAATTTTTATGGAATTTACTTTCGCCTTGGAATGAATCGATCTGAATACACAATGATTTCTATGCGTTTCATCATCTTTAACGGCCACTAAGAGTATATTATAACACAAACTCAATTTAGCCGTGTCCGTCCATCTGTCCCCTTTTTAATTTATGTTTTTAACTCTCGTTAATGTAAGATTGCAAAACAAAAAAAAAACAAAAAAATTTAAACTTGTTGGGTCAATTCTACAACCCCCAA